ACCCTCAAATTTCATTTTTCACGTCTTGCCAAGATGGGAGGTGGGCAGTAAATGAAGTCTCCTGCAGAAATAAATAAAACAAGTTCTCTCCATTCCCTGGGCATGTCCATGGGGAAATGGTGAAGCTACAGGGAATGTGTTTTGCCATCTCGAAAAGATAATGATTTCTTTTACAATCTATAGAAAGCTGCGGTTAATCAGGGGTATTAATACAACCAGGTGGGAATTGGCTCTATTTCTTATTTCTCAGGCTTAAACTTTCCTGGATCTTATTTGTGGCTTCTGAACACGAGAACAACATCCTACCTGTCAGTGACTACTTCAGCTTCAACCACAATAACACATGGGGCAAACCAAAGATGCAAACTCAAAGTAAACTGCTCCGAAGTTTGATTGCAGAAAATATGACTTCAGCAACAGAGTGGTCAATGCCTGGAATGCACTACCTGACTCTGTTGTTACATCCTCAAACCCCCAAAACTTTAACCTTAAACTCACTCCATTCCTAAGAGGTCTGTAAGGGGGTGTGCACAAGCGCACTAGTGTGCCTACCGTCCCTGTCCTACTCTTCCCATTTATTTGTACTCATTTATTATCTATATACTTATACCTGATAATACTTACATGTTATGTTAATACTTATACTTGTTTTCTCATACATGCTTGACAAACTAATTAAATAAATAAATATAAAATAAACTTGCACACACATGCCTTGATGCAGTTTAGCAATAGTTTTTAGCATAGTCATAGCAATAGTATTTAGATTTATTTACCACTAGTGTGGAACAATGTTTTTTTCTTGCACAATGTGTTCTATATTATTACTTCCATCATCCATGGAATTACTGATAGACTAGACTTTATCCATCAATTCATTTTATTCAAAATGTTCAGGATTTACTGAGAGCAAGATTTCATTCCTACTAAAAGTGTTAAAGAAACCTAATCAGAATGAATGATTTATATGATCTGAAGTGAAACCAGCGTAACTCATTTCATCTCGTCTGACTCCAAAATAGCACTAGTACCACCAATAGACTTATATACCATCTCACAGTACTTTACAACCCTCTCTAAGTGGTTTACAGAGTCAGCCTCTTGCCCCCAACAATCTGGGTCCTCATTTTATTGACCTCAGAAGGATGGAAGGCTGAGTCAAACCTTGAGCCGGTGAGAATCAAACTGCTGGCAGTGGAATGCAGAGCTTGCCTGCAATACCGCATTCTAACCACTGTGCCACCATGGCTCACAGGATGCCATATCTTTATTTTATTTATTTGGTTGTTACATTTACAAGCCACTTATCTCGCTGTGAGGGCTGCTCTAGGCTAGAACAATAAAAAGGAAGCAATGAAAAGAGTGTAAAGAGAACAGAAGGAAGATAATAGCACATTAAAATAAGCAATGAAAGAGAACACAATGAAAAATACAACTACATGACCACAAAAAAAGAAAGATAGATGGGTAGAGTGCAGAGAACAAGGAGGGATGTAGGTAGAGTCTGCCATCAATCCAACAGCCACCTCCAGCATATATATTTTTAGTGTATTATAAATAAACTGTGAATGAATTGATTTACTATAATAGATGCTAACACGGTCATATACTGGGTATACGGGTTTGAATATATTGCATTATACTTTTCTTAATGGGGCCATTTAAAAAAACACGCACACTTAAAATTTGCCAATTGGACAAAGGTGAATGCTGATCAGTAGCATTTTGGTTTGAGTGCTAATTCTGGAACTCTGCACTAGATGAGTTCCAGCTAAAATGTACATTGAACTATTTCTTTCTCACAAAAGTCTCTGAAATATTTATTATCCCTAATGTAGCTCCAGCTTTTACAAGGCCAGTAGTTTTCTTCTTGCTAAGGAAAAAAATAAATTACTGCTGAATGTTTCACTTGTCCTTAAGGATCAGACCATAAGAAAGAGGGCACCGATAACTAAGACCAGTGGTGGGATTCAGCCAGTTTGCACCACTTTGGGAGAACCAGTTGTTAAGTTTCTGAGCAATTTGGTGAACTGGTTGTTGGAAGAAATAATTCGATCAGAGAACTGGTTGTTAAATTATTGGAATCCCACCACTGATTAAGACCAGAAGAAGGTGTTGGTGCCTCTTGATTATTGATTATTCTTAGCGTTTCACTTGCTGGAATGGAAAACAAGGAAGTGACTGGCACTGTTATTTTCTCATGCAAAGATGGATATTTTCCCATTTCAGAAACTGCTGTCTTACTACCCAGTGTTCATTTCAGCACATTTCTCCTAGTTCAAATCAAAAGCATGAGAACTTAGTGTCAAAAGCATGACAGCTTTGCATAAATGTCTATTGAGTATTCTCAATCATCCAGTTCATGGTTGTCCCAAAGGTGTTTTGTTTTTCCCCAAAAGCAACTGGACTGGTTTTTTTTTATCTCCTTTGAAATGTTTTGCTTCTCCTCCAAGAAGCTTCTTTAGTTCTGAATCAGTTCAATCAGAAGCGAAGAAGCTTCTTGGATGTGAAGCGAAATGTCTTCCAGGGAAACACACGAAAGTCCAGTTGCCTTTTATTTTTATGTTTTTAAATTATTTTTTAAATATACATCCATACTGGATGTGAACAGAATTGGTTCTGGGTATAGTTCATATGAATCCAATTCACAATAGCAATGTTAGTAATCTCTATCACATTTATCAGATTTAAGTAATCCTCATTATATCATTTAATTATACATAAACAAAATAATGCCTAACTCATCTTTCTCTCTATCTTCATCTATACCTTTCTTGCTCAATCTAAACATTTCTCTATTATATAAGAACAAAATTAATTCTGGGTATCATTCATATTGGTCCAATTCACGCTAACAATGTTGCTAATCTCTATCACATTTATCAAATTTAAGTCTTTCATTGTATTATTTAAACACACATAAAATGCCTAACATCTGTAAAACTTCTATTATTTTTATTCATTCTATAAAAAATTATGTTCTAATATTTCCCCTATCTGATTTTATTTCTGCCTCCTTTAGCTTACAATCAAGCTGCTTTAATATTTAAAAGGAAATTCTTTCTAGCCACCATCTTTTGTAAAAGCACCATTGGGATAGGTTTATGTGAATTTTTCTGATTTTATATGTTCTTAAGTTTTCACAGGTACTTACATGTATGGCATTCAGCTTTGTTTGGGTATTTTCCCACGTCATTGTAGTTGTGCTTTTAAAGTTGTAGCAAC